CGTCTGTTGCAGAATATTGTACTCATGAGAAGCTATGCTACGTAGATTGTTGATACAAGATTTCTGGAAAAGTGAGGCCACCAGTAAAATGGTTACCAATGTGTTAGAACTCAATGAAATCGACTCGTATTATGTATACTTGAAACTCTATCGATCAGCTATACGTCGTTGAGCAAAACAGTCAAAAATTTTGGAACCCTTACAAAAGACCAGAATCGTGGGTGTAAATGACATCAAGTTTTAAATCTCATGAAATACTAAAAGTGTTTAGATTACAGTTTGTGTCACTAATGAGAGTGCACTAAGAAAGACATTCTTGCAAAGGTTCGGCTAATAAAATCTCAAGAAGCTTGAGCGTCAGTGTAGCGGATACTTTTGAACAACACTTTATAAGGTTAGTACTTAGAGAAGAAGGCTTATCGTTGAATATAACTCTTAGAGTATACTCTAACAGTGATTTGGTCTAAATGTGGGAACCAAATTTGAGATCGAAAATACTTTGTTCTATGTTCCTGTAAATGCCGTTTAAAAAATCGAAAATCTCGTAAATTGCTGACGACTCAGTCCCATCTATCCATAGACATAAATATTTTAAGGCTTCTTCTCGTATCATTGACGCCTACTAATAGACAATGAATCAGCTTGAAGTTAAGAAAACAATTCGACTAGTGTGATCATTACATGAAACCATAGGTAAGAGGCTTATAATATAATGGCTTCATTATTTTTTCTAAGTCAGCATCTGATTTCAATTCTTCTTTTCAATCTGGCTGAAATTTTTCTCGACTATCGATTTTAGCTAGTTCGATTTCAAGCGACTTTTGAAGAAAATCATACTATGTATTCTTTAAAAGGAAGACAAAACGAGACAAATGTTTCTCGATTAAAGAATAGAGGATCATCATTTGATCGAAACGATATAGAAGACCAGCGCTTGTTTTAAAAAATGTCGAAGGAATTCAAAACTACTAAAACCTAGCTTAAATGCACATTATTCACGTCTAAAATATTTTAAAGAAACGGGCTATTAATCGAAATTACTCTCCAGATCCTTCGATTTTTCCTGTTTTTCGTGATAAATCGACGATTATTATGTTATGCATAATTGATTTCAAAAAGTATTGCGATCTTTTCAATAGAAATCGTCGAAGTCATCATTTGAACCTCAAGCTATCTTACCTGGTCCGGGAATTGTCTGGCCTGCAGCTGCCCCAGGTAGCCAAAGTTGAACGCGATTATTAGCTGAATCTGCCACATAGATATTACCATTTGGGGCGACAACGACACCTTCAGGTCGACTGAGCTGATTTTGTGCATCTCCTGCGTCTCCATTTGCTTGACCAGCGACTGTCTCACCCTGGGGACCGCCTATCACCCATCTCTGAATTCTGTTATTTCCAATATCAGCGATAACGAGTCTATTAGATAGATCCAAAACTACATCACGAGGATCGTTGAGCTGCTGGAGTCCATCACCAAACGTACCATCACCTGCTACACGCCTGCCTATTGGATTCCATTGAAGTGAACAGACAGAAGCTAAAAGAATATACAGAATTTCAATGCGGAAGTCTAGCAACCAAATTAGATGACATTTGAGTTTCTTTCAGCATGTGAAATGCAGTTTACTTGTATGCTGAATTTTCGATTAATATTCGTTAAGCTGAAAAGATCATTCAAGCAATACAAGTTCTTTTCTAGGCTACAGCTGGTATTTCGTGGCATAAAAGCTTTTACTCGCGTTGGAATAGGAATAGGACATGCTTCCAATCAATCTCGAAATCATTGCAATAGAATATTCGTAAATCGATGCAAGTTTCCAGAGGATTAGACTTGACAGTAGATGGACGGAGCAATGTCGAATTTTTGGGAACAATCCCTTTTTATCGCACTGATCTCCGCTATGACCATTCAAAGATTTGTCAATTTTCATCATCTACAGAAAAACAAAAGTTGCACGCGTTAAAATCACTGTTCGCGGAACTTATTGAAGATCGACCAAAACCTATACAAATAATGCTAAAACATATGCACCATCTCAGAATATGAGCCTCTATGATATAGTTCACATGAAGGATCAAACACGCCAATATGGTACTGCGTACGCTATAAACACATAAAGAAACTTATAAATAGACTGCTAGGCATCGTATTAAAGAGAAAACTCTCGGCCGACCACTTGACAGGTACTTCGCATGGCACTCAAATGATTTTTCGATCCTTAAGATCCTAGTCAAAATCTGTGACAAAGGCAAACGATTGTTGTATCATTACTATAATGATTAGGACGTTGATATAATCAATCAAGCAGTTGACCTCGTTGTTGTAAGATCAAAAACAGTAACAATGACTCTTTCAGGTATATCGGCCGATCCTATTCGGCCTAATCGTTTGTAATGGTACTAGTTGCAACTCTAGTAAACAGATTAGAAACTTTTGCAGCATTTGATTAATGCTATTTTCTGGATCAATTTCACTTGAAACCTTGTGTAATACAATCAGTGAAAACTTCTCACCAAAAAGGTTGTTCAGTTTATGAATAACCAGTTTTATTCACTGAGCATTTTTGTTTCTATTTCGCTTCAATGCAAAAGAGATGTGTATGAAAACAGTTCATAAGATCTCATAAGTAACATTTTAATCATACATGATTTACTATCAAGACATTTCTACCACACTGAAACGTATGCATAATACGATTTTTTGACTTATGAACTTCAAAAAAGATGCGGCATTCAATATTCTTTAAGTATTAGGTTTCACTCATTGATCAATTTTTATCTATGAGTATTATCCCAGAACAAAATTGTAGAGCATTCGATGTTTTAAACTTTTGCTCCAAAGCTAAGCTCTCAAAGCTAAAAACCAAAAATAACACATGCCAACACATACCAAAATCTATGAAATAGAAAACTTTTTACCTCTTGCTGTCGTTGCAGCGCTAGCTGTAGCACCTGAAATATCGGACAATGGAAAAGCACCAGTTGCCATGCAAGCGAATAACACGAGTTGAATGGAGCGTCCGTCGGCAAATATGAATGTCACTGAAAAACTTGAAGCAAATCTATTAAGATGAGTTAAAATAGCATTGGTAAATCTTTGTTTGCAAGATGTTGATACACCGCATCTTCTCGGGTAGACTATACGCATTGTGATTTGCACAGCTGTGCGAGCAAATCCGTACTGATCACAACTAGGTCTGAAACAGAGTTACACAAATGTTGAGAAAGAATGCATTAGAAAAAGAAATCATGCAAAGGATAGACGCACAGTTGACGTTTTTTTCTGTAAAGTACACCACGACGACGGCGACCACTACCAGGATATCTTATAGGACCAATGATCACAATATTAATGATTCTTATTGAGTCTGCTGGCAAACGACAGGCAGCTTCTATCTAGAATTTGTTTTCAATTTAGTTAGTTAAGATATACATGATAATTAATGGAAATATGATTACTTGTCGAGCTATTTGATTAAAGTTAACGACTGTCGCACTCTGGTTATTGAGTAGTATCGTAGTTGTGACGAATGTTCGTATTATGTTATCACTTTCTACAATAGAAAAATAAATGATCAAAATAGACAATCAATTGTCATAGCATTTTTGCAAAAAACTAAGTTATTATATGAAAAAGTTACTCAAAGATAATTTACATACAAAAGAAATTGATTTGCAAATGTTAAATAAGATTGAATAAAAGGAAAATACTTACGACACACACCCTCTCTCTATCATTTTTATCCTAGATAGCATATGCTAAAGGTTATTTCTACAAGATGATGCTTTCTTGTCAGAATTTAGTAAACTTCAAAGTTTTCATTCTATGCATTTGAAAATATTAATTACACTTACAGCTGAAATCAACTCTGATACTATTTTCTTGTTCAATTTTTTATGGTATAAGTGATCTACAATATTTACCATTAAATAGAAAATGCAAAGAAAAACTAGATTCATCACTGATCTATGTTATTCATTACTTAATTTTGATTTTAACTATGATAAGGATAAGGTTTTGCATTTTATTGTGAATTTGGCATGTGAAAGCAACATTTCTCTGCATTTTCTTGTTGAAGATTAGTATTTTATCCTTCTAATCTTCTGACATTACCTAGTAACTACTCGACAGTTTGAAAGCTATCGACAGAGGAACTTTCATCCATCTTTGACCTGAAAACTACTTAGTACCTTCAGAATTTCCTAGTATTAAAATCAGATATTGGTTAGTTTCTTAAGCTCTTTAACTCTTGTATATGAGTCCTACCATATAATTCATGGTGGAAGTTACTCAACCGATAGTGTCAGATTTGACAGATTCTCTCAAGTATTATTGAGATAAGAGTTTGATGTATATCCATATAAACTGTTTGTGAAAGAAAACATTACTCTACTGTTGAAATATTCAATTATTACCAAAAAGTCAAGTTAAAATCAGCTAATTCTAGGGACTTTCTCAGAAAACTCTATTTCGATCACTGTAGATCTTTTTCATTTTTCATTTTGACTTATATTAAAAATGTATACTTTATTAGTAACATAAAATAACTTTGACAAGCTTTATCACAGCAATGTGATAAATATCTTATAAGAACTTCAAATGAGCTCTTTTCGATGATTTTCTAAGCTTCATGTCTCTCATTCAATAAAAGTTCATCAAACGAAATTTCGCATATAAGAAGATCATGATTATTACTCACTCTAACACAACATTCAGTATGTATTTGCCTCTCTTTCTGAAAGACATATCCGGCTAATCTCAATTTTTGACCTAAGCCTATTCTATTGAAAGATATGTAATAAAATTAACTTGCTCTATGAATACTGGACTGAATGATGGATCAAACACCAAATGTACTCTATAGTATAATGCATATACTACCATAATATTTCAAGAAATCGATAAAATCCTCGATGAAAGACGTGCACAGAATAAAGAGAAAATTATTGACTGTAAAGCCTTATAGAATATAATCTTTCGCTTCTTAAAAATTGTCTAGATAGTCATCGGCAGACACAAGAGATTGTAAAAACTTGATACACAATTAGAACATTCAAATGATGAATAGTGTTCAATTTCTTAAATAACAAAGTTTGTCCGCGTAAAACAGCATTACAAGAGAATGATTATTGTAATTTGGATGAAAGAAAATCTTTTTTTTTATAATAATAATTGACTACTGCTGACTGAGCGACAAAATGAGAAAATGGTTATTGAGTAATCAAAATTTTCTATGAATAAACTCAATACTTTTAACCGTCTTGAATGCAATCTTTTTCATAAAAGATTCATAGTGCACTTTTCTGATCAGGATTATTGTACAATATTAATCAGCGGAAAACTGAATTTTTCATTATATCTGTCCTCCCGTACTCTTTCTAAATTTCTTAGAATAATGACTCAACAAAGAACATGATGTATTATTTAGCTGAAAAAGAGAATTGACAAACCTGTGTTTTGATCAGTCACCAAGTTGGCACCAGCCTTTCCAAGATATACAGGTATCAATGAAAGTATAACCACGATTGCAAATGCTGATAAAATTAAACCAGCTAATACGGCAATCGCCAATGGGATGGATGCACCAACCCCAGTTCTAAAATAAAAATACAGAAAAGGTACACAATTCATTTCTCGGTAATAGAAAGTGAAAGCAGTATTCAAACTGATCTGATGAGGTAAGATCTTCAAGTAGAAAATAGGTTTACTACTGTGACTATGATCATTTGATCTGTTCCTCGTAAACAATGTAAATCTCTAACTTGAATTCAATCTATGAACCTTTGAGACTAACTTACGAATCCTATTTTACTTACTTTTCGAGCTGTTCGAAGACATTTTGAAAAAAGTAAGTCAAGTGTTTTTAATTTGGAAACTTGCAAATAGATAGATCTCATGTTCAGTAAAATGTCGCAAAAGATACATTTCAAATTTATATTTCTATGTTGAGAGATTAAGTTCTTCAGAAATTCATGTTTTATTGAAAACTGAAAGTATTTGTTCTGCTCAAAAAACGAATATTTCGAAGAAGCATTCATTCCGACTAAAACTTGTGCGAAATTCTGATAATGATGAAATGTGCTCATGTTGAAAATTTCAGATAAAAAACACAACATCCTATTTTGTAGGAAAAGCATAAGAATAGGTCAAGAAGTGATTAAAATAGTGTTCATAGCAGAGGTTTAAAGATGCAAACATTCAGTCGAAGTTACAGGATTATACAGTTAGTTATGACCGATTTAGTTACCACTGTCTTAGTTGAGAAGTATGTTCACACTTGAAAATCTTTTCTTGTGATCAGTAACTAACTAGCATGTTAGTCTTGATGTTAGTGAACGAAGCGTCGACAAACTTACGCTCCACCATCTGGACCATCGCCATTGTTATTTAATGGTTGTACTAACATTATTGTAATGTTAACGATTAACTATTGTCAGAAATTTTGTAATCAAAGTTGTAAGCTTTATTTCTGAAATATATGATTCAAATCATGAACTAGATATTGATTTGACTCGAAAAAAGAAAGAGTTTTGATTTTTGAAAATATTGATATGTACAGTGTTTGAGCTATGATTTTTCTTAGTACTAAGTCATTTTCCAGCGGAATTCTTTTAAGAGTTGAACTACTATGAACAATAGAATGATTCACTTGACTATACTTTCTATACTGCTGTCTTATAATTTAGTTAGACAATATATATGCATCAGATAGTCAAAGTTAAAAGAGAGTAACAGCACTTTCTCAATATCTTTTCCAACTTTTGCTCACTAAGATTACATAGGTCTCTACTGCGGATACTATAGGGAAGTACCTTGGATCCTCAAGTCCTATACTAAGAGATACCCATGGGCCCTCAAATCCTATACTAAGGGGGTGCCCTTGGGTTTTCAAGTCCTACTATACGGAGTACCCCTTGGGTTTTCAAATCCTCTACTAAGGGGGTACCCTTGAATCCTCAAATCCTACTCTACAAGGGTACCGTTGGCTCCTCAACTCCTATACTAGGGGCGTAGCCTTTGGTCCTTTGGTCCTATACTAGGAGGTACGCTTGAGCCCACAGACATATCATGGTGACACACCCTTGGACACTCAAGTGCTTTTCATCCGGAGTTAGGGCCGTACAGTTGACGTTTATCAACATGAGTGTTTCATCTCAACTTGAAATATACAAGTTACCGATAAGACTCGACCCGGTTTTACTTGTGAAAGTTATGGCCGTCCAGTGGAAGCTTGGAACCCACCTGCTAAGGGCTCGTCAGCCTAGGCGCTAAGTTTCTAGCGTCAACCTATCCGACCCGAGACAGTTGTTTCTCAACTTTTATTGGGAAACATATCAGTCTTCGTTCTAAATTCAACAGTATCCCGACAAGCCAAGAACTTTCTCGAACAACCATATGTTTTGTCCTGGCAATTGATGTGAAAAAAGACCCTGAATTCTGATTAGCCAATAGCGCATTTTTCCGATTAATTAAATTTCAAGGCTTTTTTTGTTTTATTATTAGTACAAAACATAGGAGTGTTCGGGCTCATTCTTGGTTTCTTCGGGTCCTTTTTCGATTGACTGGAACATCCAAATGTTCTTTCCTGTAAACTACTGAGAAAAAGTTTCTCGAACACTGACTGGTCGAAAAAGAAAATTGATAGCCAATCTGATTTCGGATCCTTCTTTCATCTATTATCAAGTTAAAATAAATGTTTGTTCGGACCACTTCTACATTTTCCCGGGGACCACTTTTATTTGACCCGAATATCGGTATGTTCTTCGCCGAAAAAAGTCAAGAAACAGTTCCTTGCAATAAGATTGGCCCAAAGAGAAAGTTACCAGCAAACCAGATCTCAGAGCCCTTTCTTCGTCTGCGCACGCGATAAAACACATCGTTACTCGGGGTAATCATAAAGTTATTGGTGGCCTGCCTTCATTTGACTCGAATATCCATATTTTCTCCATTAAAAAAGCTGAGAAAGAGCTCCACGCAGTTTGATCGGACGAAGAAAAACTATCAGTCAATCTAATTCTAAGAGACTCTTTGCCTCTTTTATTTGTAGGACAAAACATTGGATTCCTCGGGCTAATCTAGACTTATCACAGTTACGCTTCAATTTCACTCGAACGTCGGTATATTCCTCCCTGGTAAAAGCTTCGTATATACTGCCTCGAATCTGATGAGTGGATGCTAAGAACATAGAGCTCGGACCAAAGAGTCCTCAACTAATGACTCACAAGCTTCCACTAGACAACAATAACCTTCACAGATAAAAACCGCTCGACTCCTATCGACAGTCCGCATATTTGAAGTAGAGATGAAACACTCACCTTCATAAGCGTCAGCTATACAGCCCTAACTCCCGATGTATACCACTTGAGACTCCAATAGTACGTCAACATAGTACAGCTTGCGGATCCAAGGGTACTTTTTATAGTAGCACTTGAGAACCCAGGGTTAGTCCCTTAGTATAGAACTTTAGGGCCCAAGAGTACTTCCCTATAGTAGGACTTGAGGACCTCCAGGTACCCACATAATATAGAACTTGAGGACCTATGGACACCCCTTTAATATAGGACTTGAGAACCTATAGATATCCCCATAGTATAGGACTCCAGCACCCATAGGTACTCGTATAATATAGGACTTGAGGGCCTATGGGATCAGTTCATAGAGCTGAACTGTTTGAAAAGTTCCAGTTCGTTCTAAGAAACGGTTCACATAGTTCAGTTCATTTGAAAAGACCTGTTTCAAAAAGCTCAGTTCGTTGAAAAGAACTGTTCAAACAGTTCAGTTCGTGCTAGTGAGTGTTTTGAACAATTCATGAGTTCTGAGCTAAAGCTGAACTTGTTGACCTCTAGTTGCGATCCCCATGATGATATAAGCTGGAATCCAAATTTCAGTCTCATTCCTCACACCACCATCTATTAATTTCAAGGTTTCATTTTCTGTCTCACTCTCGGTATCAATGTGAGTTTTGGCTTCATTGACAGTCCTAATCTGCCTGCTATCACGAATCTGGCTCGATCTCATTACCAGTTCGAGTCCCAACACCAATCCAATTGTCGGTTCTCCGTCTCAGTGAGAATTCTGGCCTTAGCATTACTTCAGGTTCGAACTTAAATCACAATTTGTGTGCGTCGACGACACTTGGATATTAGGCCCTTAAGAATTAGTTTGTTGATCAATATTTGCACTTCTGAGCATCTGCTACTTCTACTTTTGCAGTTCAAATAGTTAAAGGATATCCAAAAATGGTCGCAGCATCAACAAACATGCGAAAACTAGATATTGGATGTTACAGCTATTCATTTTGAATGCATAATGCTAAGTAGTAACTAAGGAAATGTGCACTTAAAGGGACGCCCTTGAACAAAAATTATGAAGTAGTTATTTTTCATTCAGCATCGCATTTCAGTTTCTGCGAGGTAAAATCATTTCGTAAACTAAATGTATACAATATTGAACAGTTGTAGTTCTACACTTTCATGCAGAACATAGTTTAATAATCTAGTCTAGAAATCCTTTGTAAGGAAAGAGGCTTCATTGCAACAAATTTTCCCTGTTCATTTCGCACGGAATTTCTAAATGGTTTCATTGGAAGAAAAAAACCAATCGCATGATACAAAACTAACAATGCAAGATTAATAGTTTCTCTTGTGGACAGAAGAATCCTCTCGATACTCGTAACTACAGAGGTGTTTTAAAGCGCTCCCACTTTTGTAAAAACATACCTCTTTTAGTTTTATTGATATAACACCTTGTATAATTACAATAGTAATGTGATGGTAAGGTATGGATGTTGTATTATGAGTGCGAGAAAAGAATCGTATTGCTTATATATACTTTGTGAAATAAATAAGCCCTACGCACATACATACTTGAAGGTGAATTATTGATGCATGACTATTTGATGAGAAAATACAATTATGTACAATATAATACGTGGTTTTGCTTGTTCTCTTCTCTGTGCTTGAATGGGCTTCATTCTTGGCCATGAATAGTCCTTCACATGGTTGAAAAAACCTTGCATTATAATACACATTCATTCACTTTGTTTACGTATTATCGTACATGATCGAATAAATATCAACCCTTATGAGACCTTGGTAAGTATCTCAACAGACTAATCCTGTTCATGACCAATTCAAACATAGATCCAGAGCTTAGCAAGGCAAATCGTGTCTTAATTTGTCCACGATGATCTTCTCCGTTCGACATCCATTTCCACAAAGGCTATCAATCACCACAGAAGTTCTAGGAGAGCACGACCACAGGTCTCGATCTGTACGCCAATTGGTGTTCCAGAACTATTTCCTCTACCCATTCCAATCTCACTGAAAATCTCCAAATCTGTCTGGACTTCACGGTAGACCCCTTACTCGTCCGGATTTCAGTCAAAGTCCTGGTATCTCTCCCAACTCTAGCACTGATTTCCATGAACTTTTCGGATTCACTGGTGGTGTCCTTACTTGCTCGGACTCCAGTAGTAATCCAAGAACTAGGGGTGAGAATTTATTGTTATTGCTATTTATAACAACAACTATTTTTGTTGTTGTTATCTATAACAATAACGTTTTTTGTTATTGTTATTTAATAACACCAACTTGTTTTTGTTATTTAATAACACTAACTTGTTTTTGTTATTGTTATTTACAACAGTTATATAACAAATAACTCTTAGTTTTAAAATCCTAGAAACACAGTATAACTTTCGAGAAAATAATGAATCTTTATAGCACTTGACTAAAGGTTTTCGGAATCGAGGAATTCGAATCTGTAATCGGTTTTTCGGAATCTTGAAGTTTGTTTTTCTCATGAGGAGAAGGCTATTTTTCGAAAATAACGATTTCCCATGAAAGTTTGATCAAAGGTTTTTGGGACCGAGGAATCCATATCTGCAATTGGTTTATCGAAATTTTCGAGAATGACTTTTCTCATTTGAGGAAGACAATTTTCAGTTTTCTCCGTAGAATCATATAGGACACTCTAAAACTCGCTGCAGAACATGCTTCCATCGCTTTTTCAGTTCTTTCAGTTTCTGGGTCACGATTTGGTTGCCCACACTAAGTAAGCAGAAAAACTCTTTCTGTCGATTCAGATGGCTTGTAACGGAAATTTACTATAGGTTTTCGACCTTTCTGCATCGAACGGAACCTTTGTCCGGCTATTCAGAATCTCATATAGTGCGATTCAAGGCACCTGAGGGGTCTGGATGAAAATTTCAGTTTCTTAGAGGAGGCTCGTATCGAGTTGATATGAAAATTTCCTATAGGTTTTTAACCTTTCTGAATCGAATAAGACCATTCTTTATCTTTAACTATCCCGAATCTCGTCTAGTGGATTTTGCCTACATATGGATGTTACAACGGGTATCTGTACAGTCACAGGATGAACGAGGTTTGAGATGGTTAAAGAATG